ACAGATGCACAATAAAGTCAGATACAGATAAAAAAAGACCTCTAAATGTGTCATAGTGCTGGATAAATGTACATAGGCTTGGGAAAGAGAAGAAAAAGAATACAGAGAATTATAAAGAGAAGTAAATCATTTTTTAAAAACGAAATCAAATTCTTAAGAGACAGAGCATAGACAGTCATAGATTAAAAGGAATAAAGAAAAACAAGCCACATAAAGATGGAAAAGCTGGGCAGTGGTGGCACATGCCTTTAATCCCAGCACTTGGGAGGCAGAAGCAGGTGGATCTCTGTGAGTTCGAGGCCAGCTGGCTCCATAGCAACACAGAAAAGCCCTGTCTCAAAAAACCAATATATAAACAAATAAAAAAGATGGAAAATACAGAGTCTGGATTGTATATATTATTGTGTTTTATTTGAATTTTTTAAAAGATTTATTTATTTATTATGTATACAACATTCTGCCTCGATGTATGCCCGCGCCAGATCTCAGTACAGATAGTTGTGAGCCACCATGTGGTTGCTGGGAATTGAACTCAGGACCTCTGGAAGAGCACCCAGTGCTCTTAACCACTGAGCCATCTCTCCAGCCCTTTATTTGAATTTTTTGACTGTGAAGGAGCTAAGTACAGAGAGACATTTGATTTTATGTGCTGCTAAGCTAAACCAACCTATATATTTTAAAGGTTTCTTGACTTCAAAATTTGAGTCTAAGGATATGTTGCTTTGGAAAAGAGGTTCTGCTTTTCTTTGCACAGAAGCTGAGAACTGATGGATTTCTTCCAGACTAATGTAGTTTGATGGATAAAGAGCCCCCAAAAGGTCATTGTGAACACCCCCAAAAATACTTCACTCAGCAAAAAGCAGTAAGCAGTTTGGAGAGAACTACACCCAAATTCCCAAATATTGTTTATAAATATTTTTTTCATTTAAAGGGGAATATAAAATAGAAATGAATACTTTGCATCGGTATGGATATTAGTTTATTGATAGAAATTTAAGGTTAATTTTTTTTACTGTGTATACGAATTTCTGATCTTGATTAAGATATAGTGTTTGTCCAGCTCATTTAAAATGTAATGTATAATTAAGAAGTGTAGGTTAACAGATAATAATCTGTAATAAGCTTCTAGTCAAGTTAGATTTTCTAGACATATAGAGATATATTTCCAGTAGATAGGTATTCTTCAAATGTTTCAGAGACCTTCAGAATATGAGATTTAGAATGGTTTAAGAAGTCAGGACTTTTCACAACATGAGACACATTTGTTCCTTGCAGCATCAATCTACTTCAAGAGGATAATGGGCACAGAAGAGCCTCTTTATGGCATTGGTTGGCTATTTGAGCAAGAAACTGCTCTGCCTGGACTGTTTGCTGTTGTGCTGTATGAACTAGATTTGCAGAAACCACAGAAAAATGACTGTTGAAGTTGCCTAAAGAAGGTGAGACAGTCCTTCAGGGTTCCTGCTTCATGACAGAGTCTGCCAGACATTCTGTAGGACAGAGAGAAAAGCAACTGATGGACTTCGCCATTGCAAGACAGAATAAATCTTCAAATTTCCTGCTTTGTGGAAGTCTACTGAATATTATGGGCCTGTAGGCTGAAGATGGGTTCTCCAATGATACAGAAGAACTTTGGGTGACTGTCCAGGCAGCAAGATGTCTCTGTCAATTCAAGTTTTGGAAGTTGATTACAATGTACTTTTTTTATCTTAGGTAATATTATATCCTTCTAGAGTCTTTGATGGAATTGAAGAATAGTTAATAGTTTTCCTTAATTATGATAAAAGATAAAGTAGATATAAATATTGTAACTGTAATTCTTGCTTGATACCTGTTTTGTTATATGTAATTTTACTATGTTAAAGTTAAAACCTTCCTTTTTATTTAAACAAAAAGGGGAAATGGTGTGGAAAGTCCTTCTGTATATGTGTTGCTTTTATTGGTTAATGAATAAAGATTCTTCCTTGGCCAGTGATACAGCAGAGTGGGGCTAGGCAGGGAAAACTAAACTGAATGCTGGAAGAAAGAAGGTGGAGTCAGGACAAGCCATGTAGTCCTGCCAGAGACAGACACTGAACAGAACCTTGTCAGTAAGTCACTGCCACATGGTGATACAGAAATTAATAGAAATGAGTTAAATTAACATATAAGAGCTAGTCAATAAGAAGCTAGAGCTAGGGGCTGGAGAGATGGCTCAGAGGTTAAGAGCACTGCCTGCTCTTCCAAAGGTCCTGAGTTCATCCCCAGCAACCACATGGTGTCTCACAACCATCTGTAATGAGGTCTGGCACCCCCTTCTGGCCTGCAGGCATATACACAGACAGAATATTGTATACATAATAAATAAATACATAATTTTTTTAAAAGAAGCTAGAGCTAATAGGCTAAGCAGTGATTTAATTAATACAGTTTCTGTGTGATTATTTCGAGTCTGGGCAGCTGGAAATGAACAAGCAGCCTCCTACTACAGGTATCGGCATGAAAACAGACAGGATAACCAATGGAATCAAACTGAAGACCAGGATATGAATCCACACACCTATGAACACCTAATTTTTGACAAAGAAGCTAAACTTATACAATGGAAAAAAAGAAAGCATCTTCAACAAATGGGGCTGGCATAATTGGATATCAACATGTAGAAAATGAAAATAGATTCAATATACCAATGCACAAAACTCAAGTCCAAATGAATTAAAGACCTCAATATAAAACTGACCACACTAAACCTGACAGGCATAAAAGTGGGAAGTAGACTTCAATCCATGGGCATAGGAGACCACTTCCTAATTATAACACCAGCAGCACAGACACTGAGAGTAAATGGGACCTCTGGAAACTGAGAAGCTTCTGTAAAACAATGAACACAGTCAATAATACAAAAAGGCAGCCTACTGAATGGGAAAAGATCTTCATCAACCCCACATCAGACAAAGGTCTGATCCCCAAAATATATAAAGAACTCAAGAAATTAGAGATCAAAATTCCAAACAACCCAATTAAAAATGGGGTACAGACCTAAACAGAGAAGTCTCAACAGAAAAAAAATCTCAAATGGCCAAAGGACACTTGAGGAAATGTTCAGCATTCTTAGCCATCAGGGATATGCAAATCAAAATGATTCTCAGATACCATCTTACACCAGTCAGAATGGCTAACATCAAAAATACCAATGATAGCTTATGCTGGAGAGAATGTGGAGGAAAGGGAACATTCCTCTATTGCTGGTGGGAATGAAAACTTGTACAACCACTCTGGAAATCAATATGGCAGTTTCATAGAAAATTGCAAATCAACCTACCTCAGGACCCAGAAATACCCAAAGATGCTCAATCATACTAAAGGACATCATTTCAACTATGTTCATAGCAGCATTATTTGTAATAACCAGAACCTGGAAACAATGTAGATGCCCCTCAACCAAAGAATGGAAAAAGTAAATGTGGCACATTTACACATTAGAGTATTACTCAGTGGTAAAAAATACTGACATCTTAAAATTTGCATGCAAATGGACGGGGGGAAAAAAGTCCTGAGTGAGGTAACTCAGACCCAGAAAGATGAACATGGTATGTACTCACTCATGAGTGGATACTAGCTGTAAAGAATAGTGAGTCTACAATTAATCATCCTAGAGAAGCTGTAACAAGGCGATCCCTTAAAAAAAATCATACATAGATCTACCTGTATGGAAAGGGAAAATAAATGAGATAACTGAGAAAATTGGGAGCATGGGGGTGGGGGATAAGGCAGGGTGGAGGGGAGAACTTGAGGGAATGGGATAGTCAAGATGGAGGAGGGACAGAGATGAGAGCACAGAAAGAGATATTTTGATTGAGGGACCCATTATGGGACTAGCAAGAAACCCATCACTAGAGAAATTCCCAGGAATCCACAAGGATGACCCCAGCTAAGACCCTAAACATCAGAGATGAGGGTACCCAAACTGGCCTTGCCCTGTCATCAGATTGATGAATATCTTAAATGTTACCCATAGAAGCTTCATTTAGCAACTGATGGAAACAGAAGCAGAGACCCGCAGTGGAGCATTGGGCTGAGCTCCTACAGTCCCACTCTTCAGTGGGAGGAGTGAGAATATGAGCAAAGAGGTCAAGACCATGATGGGGACACCCACTGAAATAGGTTAACTGAGCTAATGGGAGCTCACCAACTCCAACTGAACAAGAAAGGAACCAGTATAGGTCCAAACTAGTTCTTCTAAATATGAATAACAGTTGTATGGCTGGGGCAGATTCCGGGATCGAGTGCCACTGCCAAGATTTATCCCTACTGCTTGTATTGGCTTTTAGGGAACCTATTCTCTTTGGATAGATACTTTGCTCAGCCTAGATATAGTAGGAAAAGTCTTGAACCTTCCCCCATAACAATGAGCCTTACCCTCTCTGAGGAATAGATTGGGTTGGGAGATAAGTAGAGGAATGGGAGGAGAGGAAGGAGAGGAAACTGGGATTGGTTTGTAAAATGAAAAGATAGTTTGTTTTCTCTAAAAAATAAATCAAATAAAAAACAAAAATAAAAGAATTTTCATGGTTATGGTGTCTCTTCAGAACCATAAAACCCAAACTAAGATAATTAAACTTGTAAGGTTCCTCTCATGAATTCTCTGTTTTCTAATGAATGAGCAAATAGTAAAGGATTTCTCATTTATTACATTCATAAGGTTTCTCTTTAGTATATATTCTTTGATGTGTTAATGTTTTCCCTTAAGTTTAACAGTTGTATCTGAGTGTAGTGTCATGGACCAGCATTAAACACTGTTGCTCAGGCTGTGGCTTGGTGGGATTTTTGGCTTTACTGTCATTGGCTCTGCCATAGCTACCATTTATTTACCAATAAAGATTTGGTAGTCAGATGTTAGGGTGAAAACATGCTAATTCAGAAAGCCCAAGAAGCAACCAATGAACTTCCTTTTTGGCCAAAGACCCAAAAAGAGAATGTCTCTTCAACCATCTCTATTCAGAAGATTGTAAGTCCAAGTCACTCCCTACTCTTTCCTGTGCATTTATCAGTCTCCCACACCGCTTCATACTCTCTATAGCTAATTCTTGCCAATTAGTTCTGGGTTCTTGCCCCGATCAAAGGTTGGTATTAACACTTGTGTTTCACAGTGTGACCAAATATTCCAGAACATATTCTAAGAGTTGTACCAACCAAAAAGGATTTCTCACACTTGCTTCGATTCTAAAGTTTCTGTAATGTATGTAGTCTCTGATGAGTTCTAAGGCTGGCTTTGGTGGTAAAGGACTTGTCACATTCACCGCAGTTGTAAGGTTTCTCTCCTGTGTGTGTTCTCTGATGAATCCTAAGAGATGAGTCCCAGGTAAAGGACTTGTCACATTCACTACACTTGTAAGGTTTCTCTCCTGTGTGTGTTCTCTGATGACTTCTAAGACTGTCTTTTGTGTTAAAATATTTGTCACATTCACTACATTTGTAAGGTTTCTCTCCGGTGTGGATTCTCTGATGAGTTCTAAGATTGCCTCTCCCAGCAAAAGATTTTTCACATCTGCTACATTTATAAGGTTTCTCTCCCGTATGTATTCTCTGATGAACGCTAAATGCCACTTTTTTGGCAAAGGATTTGTCACATTCATTACATTTGTACGGCTTCTCTCCTGTGTGTGTTCTCTGATGATTTTTAAACGTCCCTTTCTCAGTAAAGGATCTGTCACATTCACTACATTTGTACGGTTTCTCTCCTGTGTGTATTCTCTGATGGTTTCTAAATGCCCCTTTCTCTGTAAAGGATTTGTCACACTCACTACATTTGTAAGGTTTCTCTCCTGTATGTCTTCTCTGATGAACTCTTAGATTTGAGCTACTTTTAAAGCTTTTGTTACATGCATTACACTGGTAAGGTTTCACACCTGTGTGTCTTTTTGAATGCGATCTAAGATTTGAGGCACTTGTAAAGCTTTTGTCACACTCACTACAGTTGTAAGGTTTCTCTCCCGTGTGGATTCTCTGATGAATTCTAAGGTGGTCTTTTGTGGTAAAGCATTTGTCACATTCACTACATTTGTAAGGTTTCTCTCCTGTATGAGTTCTCTGGTGAGACATAAGATGAACTTTCTGGGAAAAGGATTTGTCACATTCACCACATTTGTAAGGTTTCTCTCCCGTGTGGATTCTCTGATGACTTCTAAGACGGTCTTTTGTGGTAAAGCATCTGTCACACTCACTACATCTGTAAGTCTCTCCTGTATGGATTCTCTGATGTATTCTAAGATAGGAGGCACTCAGAAAGGATTTGTCACATTCATCACATTTGTAAGGTTTCTCTTTAATATGGATCTTGTAATGTCTTTCAAAGTCTGATGTGTGACAAAAGCACTTACCACATTCTGAACATTTGTGGAGTTTTCCTCTATAGTGGATTTTGTAATGTACTTTGAGTTGTGAAAAATGCAGGAAGGATTTACTGCATCTTGTACATTTATAAGTTTTTTCTCCAGTATGTGCTCTCTGATGCCTAATGAGAGATGAGTGAGTCTTGAATAATTTTCCACATTTCCAGCATTGGTGTGATTTCCTTCCACTATTGGTTTGTTTTAGCTTAAGTTTATGTTTGGAATCAAAATATTTATCATACTTGGTATTTTTGTGCTTTTTCTTTCCTGTGTGAATTCTTTGATTTTGGCTAATGATGGGACACAGATGGAAACAGTTTACAGAGTCTTTATATTTGCAAGGTTCTTCGCCAGCATTTCCATTTTTGTGTCTGTTGAGGTTTAAGGTTTCACCAGAGGCATTTCTGTGGTTACTAAATCTGTACTTGTAATTTTCTGCAGTATTACTTGTGTTATGAGGTATACACTGACGGGGCTCATGAATCACTTTGCAAAGCTCATTACAATTATACGACATCTCTTGGATATTTTCATGATCATGAATAAAATGCTTTGTGCCTTGATGCAAGACCTTCTCACATTTACCACATATGTGATGGTTCTCTGAAAAATTAGTACAATTGTGAATAATAGCAATTAATGCATGAGTAACAGATTGACCAACTGATGTTTTCTTAGGTTTTCTACGACATATAAACTAGTAACTTTCAGGGACAGAGCTTTTAACAGAGGATTTTTCTACTTCATAATCATTAAATGGATGCTCATAAGAATCCCCAATCTGATTTATATCAAATCACAAGGGCCAATAATGGCCAACTCATTCCTTTTATTCTTCTTTCAATATTTTTCATTTATTTGACATCCTGACTGTAGTGTCAACTCCCTCCTCTCTTTCTGATACCTTTCCCTGCCTGCCGTCTATCCCCCCATCAAGGCATTCTCTGTTTCTGTTCTCAAACAGGCAGGCCTTCCATGGGTATCAACAAAGCACTGACATATTAAGTTTGGGTAGGACTTAGCTCCTCCCTTTGTATTAAGGCTGGACAACACAGCCCATTTTGAGAAATAGCTTCCCAATAGTAAGCCAAAGCATGAGATAAATGCCCTGATCCAACTGATAAGAGTCCCAAAAGCACATCAAACTAAACAACTGTCATACATATGTAGAGAATCTACATAAGTCCCATGCATAGCCTTCTCATTCTTATCTAAACACGGTACCTTGTAGTTCGTAAGAAAAACAGGTATTTGACCAGTAAAGAATTTGAGAAATAAGCTCTGTGAAGGATCATATGAAGACTGTCTCACTATTTCTTATGTTTTTGAGACAGAGTCACACAGTACAACTTACGTCAGCTAATTCCAGGTTAGCAAGGAACTCACCAGGTCCTCCAACTTCAGCCTCCAAAGTGCAAATATTAAAAATAATACTGCACCAAACTAAACATAGCAACCACATCTCAAAAATGAACAAAAACAACATTCGCACAAACAGCAGTTTTTTCTAAAACCTTTTGCATTGTTTATAATCAGAAATAGGAAGAGTTTAATGCAGTAGCAAAATAAAAACATTCTAATTATTATGAGTTCTGCAATATATTACCTTGTTATGAACAGTCAATATTCTTTGAACTTTAAAATTTTCTTTCTATATTACATAGAGTGCTAAAAAGACCACAGAGAATATAGGATTGGTTACTCTTCTAGAAAACACAGAATAATGTAAATAAAGCAATATTAAAAAGTTATGTTAGTAACCAGAATTTTCCTCATTTCTTGGGTTATCTAGGTTCAAAGAGTTACATATATACAAATTAGGTAAATGAAAAGGATGAATCAGGAATTCTACAATAAGAGAATTCTTACCCACAAAGAGTAGATTGTTGTAATTCTCTAACATCACATCCATGTACAATGCCTTCTGAGCACAGTCTAGACATTCCCATTCTTCCTGAGAGAGGTCCACAGCCACATCTCTGAATGATAACAGACCCTGCAATGGAGAATTATCTATTTACCATGCACTGTTCCACAAATGATATCTTGAGTAAAAGAAACCTAAAGAATTAGAGACAGAGACATGTCTGTGATATAGATGAGGCATGGCAAATTTTAAAGGTCAAAATTTTTCTAGAAGTGCTGTGTTGCTATTCTTTCAGAGACAATATATAGAAGGACTTGACTTACTACATTGCAAACATCCATTAGGACTCTCGCCTCCATGAATTTTCTGATGTACTCTAAGACCTGAGTAGCAGGGAAAAAAAAAAAAAGATGTGCCACAATCAATAAATTTGAAAAATTTGTGTCCAGTTTGAAGTTTTCACTTATGGTACTACAAAACAGAATTTAATCTCAGATCCAGGAGATCCAATGCTCTCAGATGAACCTTATAGGCAGGGGTCATACACAGTACACGTGCACACACACAAACACTCAGGGATATATCTATATAAAATAAAAATTATAATTTAAGTTTAATAAAAGATATTTTCTAAAATGTTCAGTCTTTATCGTATTTTCAATCTCTGTAAACACAGGGTGACATAATAGTCTTGCAATCACCAAAATTTTAGGGAATATAACATAGACATTTAAGGTCTAGATACAAGAAAGTACCTTTATGAAGTATGTGTTGATAAGAAACAGAATCCCAGAGCCACATCTCAGATGTTAAAGCTGTAATGATTAAAGGTATGCTTCGACATTATACAACTGCTGACCTTACTTGAATATGGACATTAGATCAATCCTGTTTGAAGCTGGGTTTACCTGACTCTAATCTAAAACGTTCAGGGGGGATCCTGAGGCCTTGGAATAATGGTATAATGTTTTGTCCCTTTCTAGAACAAATAGGTAGAAGATGGAATGCCAAAAAAAATTTTTTTTTTTTTTTTTTTTTTTTGGTTTTTCGAGACAGGGTTTCTCTGTAGCTTTGGAGCCTGTCCTGGAACTAGCTTTTGTAGATCAGGCTGGCCTCGAACTCACAGACATCTGCCTGCCTCTGCCTCCCAAGTGCTGGGATTAAAGGCATATGCCACCACCGCCTGGCTGGAATGCAAAATTTATGGATGATTAGGTCATCTTTTTTCTTGAGAGTAAGGAGTTTAAAATCATAGCACATACCCAACGTTCCAAATACACAGAACCCAAGTTTGTGAAGATATGTTTTGAGAAATATTTACAACCATGAAGTAAATAAAGAAGCAGAATTATACAACATTAATGTTATTTACATTTTCAAATTCTTTTTTTTTAAAGATTTATTTATTATGTATACAACATTCCTTCCGTGTATGCTTACATGCCAGAAGAGGGCACCAGATCTTATTATAGATGACTGCAAGCCACCATGTGGTTGCTGGGAATTGAACTCAGGACCTCTGGAAGAGCAGTCAGTGCTGTTAACCTCTGAGCCACCTCGCCAGCCCCCGATTTTCAAATTCTTGATACAAACAATATAGATAAATAACAATCTCATGAATTCCACACAGTATTTCAGTACAGAATAATTAGAAATATACATGTAAATACATCGCCTATACGACAGTGCATTCAGATGTAGTACAAATATTTTCTATTACCAAAACAAATATTTTAAATAGAATGAGAAATATTCTAACTCTTCATTAATTTTGAATATATTATTGCTCGTGTGATTGACTCAGATGAAATTTTTTTAAAATATTTATTTATTATGTATTATTTATTTATTTATTTATTTATTATGTATACAATATTCTGTCTGTATGCCTGAAGGCCAGAAGAGGGCGCCAGACCTCTTTACAGATGGTTGTGAGCCACCATGTGGTTGCTGGGAATTGAACTCAGGACCTTTGGAAGAGCAGGCAATGCTCTTAACTACTGAGCCATCTCTCCAGCCCCCTCAGATGAAATTTTAAGCCTCTTAATCTCAACTTTATTCTTCACTTCAGTATTTGAGCTCTTTCATCTAACATGATTTAAGCTTTGATAAGTATTTATGATTAAACCTTCATTTTTCAAAAACTGGAATACACAGAGTTATATACTATCACAAGTGTTCACCAGAAATATAAACCTGGAGCCTGAAGACATGGCTCAGAGATAAAGGGCACTTGCTATTCCTGCAGAGAAACCTAATTTAGTTCTCTCTAAACAAATGGCAATTAGCTACAGTATCTGACTTCAGTGCCAAGGGCTTGGTGCTGACCTTAGGGATGGAGGGGCATACTACACCATGGAGTATATATAACAATATGCAGATCAACCCTCATATATGTAAATAAAATATTATTTTAAACCAAGAAATAGAAACATTGATATAACTCTTCAGAATTTCACTCTGTGTAATACAAACCTTTAGGAAGAGAGAAAAAAAAAAGTCCAGAGAGGGCCTTCTTTCTCCAAAAGAATAAAGTGCTGTGGGACAATGGTCTTGTACCCTGTAAAGATTTGTCAGTTTTACTAGTTTAATAAAATGCTGATCAGCCAGTAGCCAGGAAGGAAGCATAGGCCCGGTGACCAGAACAAGAGAATTCTGGGAAGAGAAAAGGCTCAGTGTGCAGTCATCACCCCCACACAGAGGAAGCAAGATGAGAATGCCTCATTGATAAAAGGTAACAAGCCTTGTGGCTAACACAGACAAGAATTATGGGTTAATGTAAGAGGTAAGAATTAGTTAATAAGAAGGCCTGAGCTAATAGCCCAAACAGTTTATAATTAATGTAGGTTTCTACGTGTTTCTTTGGGACTGAACGGCTGTGCGACATTCGTTTATGCTTGAAAACTGATGGCTTATGTGCAGCACTAAGTCAGTATTCTCTGGAAAATTCTTTTTTTGTTGTTTTTTGGTTTTTGGTTTTTCTAGACAGGGTTTCTCTGTAGCTTTGGGGCCTGTTCCAGAACTAGCTCTTGTAGACCAGGCTGGACTCGAACTCACAGATATCCTACTGCCTCTGCCTCCCGAGTGCTGGGATTAATGTTGTGCGCAACCACTATTATATTCCACATAATGCCATACAAAAGTAGGCACAGCAGTGCTTATGCCCCTTGTTAATAAGGAAACAAAAGATAAAGAAAAAATAAGAATTTTCTAAAGAGAGCTAGTCACTTAGTTTTGAATAGGTGTCCTGAGACAAGTACATTTCCGGTGTCAACACAGTCATCATCACTGTGTGACATAATATTGCAAAAAGAGAAACCATAATACTGCAACCTTCATCTCCTCACAGACAAAGCAACTTTCTGGCAAGAGCAAACCACATAATACTTCCATAATATGTGTTCTCTGGGTGCTAAAATATTTACTATTAGGTTTCAAGAAAATGAGTCTCATCTAATTCTACTTTCCTATAAATTGCTCAGTGATGTCAGTGGTGAAATAAAATGACTATGAACCTTATCACTGCACACAGAAACAAGGGCTCTTTAACTTCATGGAGAAGGAAGTGCATAATAAAGGTTATAAAATGAAGAAGGCCATCCACTCAAGCTGCACTGCAGATGATAATTAGAAGTGCATAATAAAGGTTATAAAATGAAGAAGGCCATCCACTCAAGCTGCACTGCAGATGATAATTAGAAGTGCATAATAACGGTTATAAAATGAAGAAGGCCATCCACTCAAGCTGCACTGCAGATGATAATTAGAGGCAAAGTTTACATAGAAAAATCAGAGAAAAATTAACCATGACAACTCAAAAAAGAAAGCACTTTACAAAAGGAATAGATGAATAGGAGACTGAGGAGTAACAGATTATTTCCAACATATAAAACCAAAAAACTACCATTTCTTATCAGATATAAGATAATTACTACCTCTAATTTTACCCACAAAAAAATATTTAAAAACAAATCATGAATAGGAGTCCCATGATATGAAAATACAAGTATTAAGAAATATGTCAAGCCGGGCTATGGTGGCACACGCCTTTAATCCCAGCACTCGGGAGGCAGAGGCAGGTGGATCTCTGTGAGTTCGAGACCAGCCTGGTCTACAGAGCTAGTTCCAGGACACAGGTTCCAAAGCCACAGAGAAACCCTGTCTCGAAAAAAAAAAAAGAAAAGAAAAAAAATTTGAATAAGGAAAACCAAGGAAAGACAGATAGGAAAGGTACCAAATTTTCTTTTAAAGATGACGTGATCATGCAAAAACTTTCCAGCGCCACTACGGGAAAATGTTAGATTTACTAAGTGCTTCACATATTATCAAAAAGAACAAAACTAACACACAAAATTACTGCTTTCTCTATTTATTAATAATGTCAATTACAAAAGTAATTTAGGACCCTAGCCTGGAAGTGTCAGAGTAAAAGGTAAAGCAGGGGAGGCCCCAGTGCCAGCCTGGAAGCATCAGAGATAGAGGGAGCACAGCTTCTGTCCAGGCCCAGAACCATCAAAAAGAGGGAGAGAGAGAAAGAGAGAGAGGGAGGGAAGGAGAGGGAGAGGGGTGACAGTCCCAGCTCCGGTCCTAAAGCATCAGAGAGAGAGAGTGCAGGGCGGCTGTAGAGGTTCAGAAGCAGACAACAGTGGCTTTCAGACCTACCTGTACCAAAAGGAGTGATCACATAACTCCATCTGCATCTGGAGGAGGCACCGCCTGAGCCTCATGCCTACCTGCACAGTAAGGAGTGATCACCTGAGGCTCTCCCTGCCTGCTCCTTAAAAAATGATAAATGGAGCCACAACCTCCAACTGCATCAATTGAAGAAAGAGGTGCAGTTGGAGGTTGTGGCTCCATTCATCATTGGCACCTTTGAAGGACAGGTGCCAACTGTTCTGATTAGAGAAAAACAGTGCAAGAATACACTCAACAACATAAATAGCAATACAGCACAACCAGAAACCAGTGGTTCTATAATAGTAAGATCTGAACATTCCAACACAGATGAAGCAGAAGAAAATAACCTTAAATAACTTTATGAGAAAAGCCCTAAAAGAAGAAATGAAAAATTACCTTAAAGAAATGGAGGAAAAGACAAAC